AGGAACTGAAGGCTGATGGAACATGAATGCCTTGACGAATCATTCACTAAAACCGTTCTTAACAGGCTATTCCATACTTGAACCTGTAATATTACTCTTGATAGTTTTTATTCATGCATTTTCCCTTTTTTTCTCTCTCTCCTTCTCATGCTGCCTGTTCCAATCACTCAATGCTGCCTGTTGTGAAGCTAATCTTAACTACAGCTGGGTGGGTGGATGCAGGGGTGAACTATGCAGGCTGGTATTGTAAAGGGGTAGGTGGGCGGCAAATGTGGTTCATTTGGTTGTCTTTGGGCTCGTGGTTAATTTTGCTGAGCCAAATCCTCTAATTTAGGGGATTATGTTCCCAGGCTTGTGGGGAGTGGGCGGAGGTCAGAGAGGATGAAACGGGGATGGACAAAATGATGGAAAACGTTTTTTGGTGTGGGGTATAGGTGTAGAGGGATGGAGAGACATGGTAGCAGATGGGGGTTAATGTATGTACTGGTGTGGAGTTGGGGGAGGTGATGCTCAGAGGGAGGCAGAAGAGGAAAACAGCTTGTGTGTGGAGAGATCTGAGGGTTGGGGGTGCACTTGTGTGGGCAGGAGGCGTGGTGAGGTGGGGAGAGTATTGTTTAAGGAGGGCTGAGTGAAGTCTGATGGGGGGGCTCCACCTTTCAATGGGTATCGACAGATCCATTGCCATTCCTACTCTACAGGCCTGATCAGCCCCACTTCCTAACATACCACCATGCCTCTTCACAAGTTAAAGAAGCCTCCCCCTCCCCTCCCTCGCTGCACTTGCATATAGGAGCTGATGAACCCTGAGATGGTCAGAGTACTCTGGGCCCTCTGTCTTAGTGAATAGAAGAGTTTAGACCATGAGGCTGAATTGGTGCTTGAGAAAGGGGCATTCTCCTTGAAGCACACAACTCCCTTTGGGCTCTGTAAAAACCCACACATAGTCAAGGACGTGCCCCTCTTTTTTGTTGGACCAACGTTATTCAGTGTATTTTTGAGCCATAGCGAGGCTGAGAGGTGAGAGGAAAGGGAAGATGCTAAATTTTACAAGAGTGTAAAGCTGAAGAAAATGTTGAATGCGCAATGCTACACACACAGGAAACTTGTTTCCCAGCCATTTAGAGAAGACTGAAATTTTAATGGGTTAATAAAGAGTAAAGCTGAAGTAGGAAAAAGTTAGGGAGAGTGCTTAGAATGGATGAGTTAGAATAAAATGTGAATTGAGAGGGTTCAGTGGGGTTCAGCGGAGAAGTGGAGAACTCTTGAGTTGGAAGCTCTGAATACCTCCCCTATGTCAGGAACTGGGACATTCTCACCATCGTCTTTTTTCCTCTTTGAGGAGGGGGGCCAGGAGGATTTAACTGCCAATTGTCAAGTCTGCATATGCATTTTTGATAGGAATCAAACAGAATCACAAGTGACAGTTCTTCAACTAAGAACTTACATGGCATTATTGATGTGACATGTAGTACAAGGAGCTATAGTTACACTTGAACATCAAATGCATGAAAACACTTTGCAGTTATCAACATGCAGGGAGTACGGCCAGTAGAAGTGTGGAGTAACATTCTCAAGTGGGCCATTCACTCCTAATTCCCCTCAAACAATCACTCCGTCTGGCCTTAGTTATGGCAGATTGTGTTACACGATCCCTGGAATAATGAACTGGTACGTCAACACTGCCAATCCCACATCGCAAAGAAAAGGATCTGTCTGTTCCAGCCCCTAATCCAGTCTGTTTGGGAAGCAGAGACTGTGGCGTGACACTTGTTCCCCGTAGTCTCCAGTGTTCTCCCTGGAACCTCCAAGCGCCAGTTTACATTAGCATAACCGTGAGGCCCATCCACTCACTACAGGATTAGTTCAGCTCTCCTCCCACTGTCTGATGGCTCTTTATCCAGATGGATACAGCCTGTTAGAGGTCTTAACCACACCATTGGCACTGAAGTCATTATCATTCACCACGAGAAGGAATCAGCTCACTGAGGGTCTGCTGTTTAGAGTGAGATTGACATCTCATTTGGGATGGTTTAAGAGAAAAGACAGGGTACTCCCCTTCGGACTATGATGGAGTAGCCAATAAATGCCTAATCAGTCTGCTTTTATACTTAAGTGACTATTTAAGAATGTTAATCGGGTCTTGTTATGTTTTTTGGAACACTGTATTTATGGAAAAATGTGGATTATTTTTGTTGGACACATGCACACCAGCTTAATCTGTCAGCAGAGAGATTAATTGTTGTTCATAGAGATCTGTGTGTGTAAGTGTTTAACATCTTGTTCAAGTCAGTGCCCAAATTTGGTAAATTTACAGTACTGTTTCTCATTCTAGGAAACATGCTCTTTGCTCAGTGCTAGAACTTTTCTTGTTTTTCCCCGAAAATAGATTTGTTACACTTAGATGCATAAAATCTTGAAAATTAAGTTAAGCTTGAAAGTGACGTCATTCCAGGAACGTCTGTGTTCACCCATGTGATTGTTGAAACACAAGTGGCGCCGTCACCAGACAGATGGACCTGACAAGACGCGTCTGTGTGTCCGTACAATTTCCATGTAAACCATGAGGTGCGACACTGTAACGTCAGCGTCACCACTAATCCATCAGACTCAGGTAAAGTAGATTGCTGATGGGCAACAGTTAAATGGCATGCAGTTTGTTATGGTCTCTTTTCAGTCTCACTGTCTGCCTTCTTTACACAGCATAGAAAAACTTTGTGCAGTGTGAGATATAATCACTCATATGTTTGCCTGTTACATTAAATCACAGTTAACTAAAAGTAGTGGACTTTTAACCACATCGCACACGGACTCATTTGAATTGCAAAGCACACTACATTTAAGCACAAGTGAGATGATAAATTATGTATAATTTAATTTATGAGACAGTTGGTCTTGTGGGAAATGTATCATTATGAAATGGATAGCTTTCAGTATTATGCAAGTCGTCAGAATTAAAAAGGAGACACAGATATTGGAACAGTGCAAGAAAGAATTAACAGAGGGGATTCAGCTGACTTAAAATGATTTCCAGCAGCTAATCCTGATACGTGCATAATGCATGAAAAACTGAAGAAATGCATCAAGAATTGTGAAGGAAATGGCAAAAAAGATTATTCTTAAGTCATATTTAAACACAGAAAATGTTATATGTAGTAGCGGTGGGCATGTGGCCCCAAAATAATATCACTGTGTTTCAGGGTGTTTTTGCGATATAGTTTTACAGTTTGCCTTCAAATATTCATTAAAAACTAAACAAAAACGAACCCTCATTTCTTTAGTTTGTAACTCAGAGTGAGATTCAGATTATATATACAATATTAATAGTACAACAAAATACAATCTACCACAATTTACACATGTAAACAGCTCCCAAATACAAAAACCTTGGAGCTATATATATATAAATCAACAGGTGATTTCCTTCTCTTGTAGCAAAATCCTAAATGATTAAGTTGTTTTTTTTCGCTTGGACCTTTATGCTCTGCCATTTCTCCTCTAATCATCACGCTGTAACCTGTGACAGGCTGTTATGCTGCCATAACTATCGCACATTCACATATCTGTAGCTTTTTGTCGAGCTGCAAGCATCACATAGGTTACATTACCAAAGGTTTATTACAAAATCACTTGACGACACTGACTCCCGTGTGCGCACGATGAGAGAGGAGAGGGAGAGACTCTGTGCTGCTGCCAGAGGAGCCACTGAATGAGTTCCCTCTGAGCGCTAACTCGCTAAAAGAGTCTGAGAAGTCCAGGGCTGTTCATAAAACATTCACAACGCCACCGTTTATTCCACACTACTGAAGCTGCTCCTCTTTTTGGAAACCACTGCGGAGTCTGTGATAATTTCGCTTTCAGCCATGTTTATTGGTATTATCGTGAACGAGACGGTATGTCACACCCCTAATATGTAGTTAACAGTATGATGGATTTATGTGATACAGATTCAGTGTACTGTTCACCTTGTTGGGACTAAGACTGGTGTTACTTTTGTATGTTCCTTTGTTTTAATTATCAGTCAAGTTGCAACATCTAATGAAAAAATACATTACTATATTTTAGAGCAGGGATATCAAACATACGGCCCATGAGCCATAACCGGCCCGCCAAAGGGTCCAATCTGGCCCACTAGATGATTAGACTAAGAGGTGCCAGGTTTCAGGAGCAAGTAAAACAATGCTTTGTCTACTTCATGTAAAATTCTGCTTCAGAGGCTTTTCCACCTTGACCACAATGCAGTGCTCTGATATAACAATGAATACTTACTGAGGCCATGTTTAAAGATATTAAACACTGTGTAAAATATTGTCAATCAGCAGCTTTAGTTCAAGAGAATCTGTATCAGGAAATGTGTGACTAAATGCACATGTAATGACAGCAAGAAGTAGACTGACTGAATGTGGAAAAACTGAGGCATACTGTTGAAACTGCACTTATTTTCTTAAGACGTCTCAAGCTGTTCAACTGTTTGTGAAAGGATGAACGTCTACAGAATGTACTTGTAATTCTTCACACACAAAAAAGGGAAATACTGGTGCTGTTACTTATAGGTTATTGTGCAATGGTTTTATTGGTCCATTTAATTTTTTATTTTTTGTTTTATTTGGCTTTATGTGGCCCACATGAGTTTGACACTCCTGCTTTAGAGTCTCATCTTTACTACTGAAAAGCTTCATCCAAACATTTCCACTAAGAATGTGTTTCCTCAGAGTGTTCTGCTTTCATGTTCCACTGTTTTCCTGTTTCCATACTCTTCCTAACCTCCTGCCATGCCCTAACCTCTCCTCTCCTACCACTTTTGCTTTCACTGTTTTCTTTTCTCTCATGCTTTCTATGCTCTCTCACCCTCTCTCCCACCTACACCGCACTCACTCTCTCCTCTCCTCCCTCTCTCTCTCACACACACACACACACACACACACACACACACACACACACACACACTCACTCTGATTATGCCGTCTGCCTCAGCTGTTCTCAGTTGCACTGTGTGCCTTGTGCTGTGGGGACAGGGCAGAGCTGCGCTGAGTGGGGCTGAACTAGTCCAGAGCAGTGTTAAGTAGAGAGAGAGGTAGCTAGTAAAACAGAGTGAAAGAGGGAGAGAGGGAGTCAGTTCAGATTGTGCTTACCAAGCAGACTGGATTAACAGCTGAAACAAACTGGACCTGTTTTTCTCTCTTTAGCTAAAGATAGAGACTCAGCGACAATGTGGATGGCTGTTTAGACAGAGCTGCATGCTGGTTAGGTACCGGGACAGAAAACTATGGCAGTCGTACCCAGATCCTCTCGCTCTTCCTCGCATTTAGTATAGTGAAGATCTTCTCATTGTGCTTAGTTTGGTTAAGTTTACCTCGGGACTTGCTGGTGTGAGAGACTCACTTGCAGTGACATTGACCCGTAACCCCCCGACTCTGCTTTGCAGGTTCTGTCTCCCCTGGAGTTGGACTCTAATTTTGGCTTTTGACCCCTGGAACAGGAAAGGGTTTTTGATTTGGCAGGGGACGAGACCTGCTGAGAGCCAGTCTGGACTGAAGCGACAGCATTTATTCATAATCCGTGGACAACAGGAACATTTCTTCTACTACACCAGATCTGAGACTGAGACCGCGCTGGAGGCGTGTATTTAAAGGACCCCTCTGGCCTCTATTGCCCCAGGACCATGGGGTCTCTCTGGGGCAGCATTATGCTGCTGTGTGGGGTGGTTCTGCTCAGGACAGAGGGCAGCGGAGCCCAGCAGATCAAGAACAACGTCCCCCGGCTAAAACTCTCCTATAAAGGTGAGTTACTTGCATTTGTGCATTCAGTCACAGATGGTTATGTCTAAATGTTTTATCTGAGTTAGCTGCCTTGCCATTCAATCACATAGATTTAAATTCACAAACCACATGTGGTGTGCCGATTAAGTGACCAGAAAAGCTTGTCTATAGAAGTTGCAGTAACTGTGAGATCCTAGATGTCCCTGTGAGGCAGAAAGATGCTTCTGCTCTGATTACCTGGAAAAAAAGCAAAGTAAACTTACTTGAAACAAGCAGATTTTTTAAAAGGCATGTTGAGCCTTTTGGCTGATAAGATGTATGTTCTGGTGTGGTGGATAATGCATATCTCATCTGTTATGGCTTTAGTCAGAAAACAGATTTATATGGTGTTAGATCATCTGCATGTCTCTAAAGCAAGTTCCCATGTGATATAGTCATGCAGATAGCGCTTCCAAATTTAGCATTTATGATCCATTATATTCACTTTAGCTAGAAACAAAAGCAAATATGTGTTGTTCTCATGGAAACCTCATGGCAGTGTTATAAAAATAGTACTAAATTGGTTCAGTAAACCAATCATCTGGGAATAATGAATAGGAATTTATGGGAATAATCGTACTATTATGCCAAGACGAGAGCAGTTTAGTTGTATTTAGGAAAGAAACTTCAATTTCCTGATGGATCTCTGTGGCACAACTGATCTGTTCATTACAGAAGTCTGTCTCTGATGAACTCTCTCTTCCTGTCCCTCTGTTGATCAACTGCCGTTGTCAGTTTTGCAATGAAAAGTGGTGCCAGACACGGACTCCCTGGCAGTTGAGCGTCATTTATCCTTCTCTTCATTTCTTTCTTTCTTTCTTTTTTTTCCTGGATGTCATTTTTCCGCTCCGTTCTTTCCTGCATGGTAATTATGCTCAGGATGAATGGTGCAGGTCTGTTTCAGCAGATGGCTTTCCCAAAGAGAAAAATTTCTCGCTCAGCACTGGGAGATCCATAATTATACACACGAGCATGCGCTCACAGACACACACACGCATAAATACATGGCCATCTGTAGTTAGCTAATGATACCTGTGAGCTTATCAGTCATTTAAAACAACATGCTGTCAGTTTGGTGAAACACGCCCATGCAGTGATATCTCTGTTAGAAGTCAGGCCTTCAGGTAGCAGCCTGGCCAGCTTGGTTATTTGGCTGCTGCCGTCACATTCAATATTTCCATTAGACCTCATTCACATTCTGGCTGGTGGGGGACATTATTTGGCACCGTATCTGGCTCAGGAGCTCTAGCCGGAGGAAAGCAGGCAGGTATAATTTTCATGCCTGGAACGTGGGGGAAATATTATTCATATCATACTGTAGAATTTCATCAAACATTATCCACTGTAGGTCCCATTAGGCAAGTGACGTGGGATTATTGCATTATGAATCATTTATATCGTCGTATAAATTATTTATTACCCCTGTGATAGGTGAAGCAGATTTACTCATGGAGAGGAGGAAATCAGATGATTTACTGTGGTGAATTACAGAGCAGTACCTGCTTAGACAGCCTGAGAAGTTGTCCGGTCCTGAGCGAGTAAACGCCTGATCAGTGACACGAGGCTGTGAGGTGAAGGAACTCTGACCCCTACAGGTTACTGGGAATAGTGGGAGAAGCTATGTGTGTCCAAATGAATGTGTCAGTGTGGGTGCAGGCTTCCACACACTTGAGCTTGTTTTTTACTCTACTGAAGATTTAACTCTTATGAACACAGCAGGGAGGTGTTTATGTCGAGAGCGTGAACCTGAGGTGTAGCCTGCTCCCCCACAGTATGAGCCCCTCAGTGAATACTCTCTGAAGCATACATACACACTTCCATGGCCAACCACAAACACATACACACACACAACAAACACACACACTTCCCGCTGAACCCCGGGAGATTCTAACAGATCTTTGAAAGCGATTGTTGAGGGGCAGAAGGGCAGTGGAGTAGGTGGAAAGATCACAGTGGTACCCCATGGCTACCTAAACACCAGCTAAGGTCCAACTGTATCAACAACTGGGTGACTGGGTGATGATGAGATAGAGTAGGGCTGTGGATTTACAGCACACCACAGCGCTGTGAATTGTGTCATTTCACATACTTTAACATGAATTGATATGAGATTGATTGACACCCCCAGGGTAAGTGGATCCTCCGGAGAGTAAACAGAGATCCATATGGTTTCGCAAGTTTATGGGCCATGAGAAGTAGAGCACATGTTGTTTGCTGTCCAGGGAAGGGAAGAGGGGGCACTTTAGTTTTATAGGATGTGTGTGTACTGCCATAAGTACTCCTTCTCTTCCCTTCTCCTTCTCTTCGACCTGTCCACCCCTTTCCTGTGCAGAGCCAACGGCTAGCACTCACACACGGGCAGATATATTCAGAGCAGCACAACAAAATTCTTACTCTTGCAAACTGAGGAGGAAAAGAGCCAAGAAAAATTGAAACAACAGTAGTAATTCTGTGGTTTCGCTGTTCACAAAATTCTTCCTCTAGTAGTCATTTTCAGCTGTCTTTGTTTTCGTGTCAGCCTTGTTTTCAGATTGCCTTTTAATCAGACTTGGAGAACGGAGAAGTTCTCTTAAAGACCTTTAATCCATAAGCACGTTAAGAATCTTCGGAGCGGAGTTGGGTTTCCCGGGGTGTGTACAGTATAAACTCTGAATGGCCCTGAATGGCCATGGGAAGGTATCCTATACACTGAGAGAGCTGGATGTTTGGAGGCTTTCTCGGGTTTTGAATAGTCTGTTCCCCTCCAACTGGAGGCGTACTCAGGATTTGTTTGGCAGTGTTCAGTTTTTGTTTGACTTGTTTCTCCGGGGGCTCTAAGAGGAATCTTTTTAAGTCATTTGACTTAGTTATCATCTGTACCAGCTGCAAAGTGATATACTATGATGATAAAATTGACTTTGTTTCAATACGCCTGCTTACATCATCTCTAGTGCCCCTGGCTGTTGGCTGACAAACAGGTATAGTGTCATGTAGGGCTAGGGAATATGATTGAAGACAGTTGCACAATAGCAGTAAGAACATTTGCCATTAGCAATACAAATTACAACAAGGCAAATGTTTTTTTAAAAAAAAAAAACATTTAAAGGAGCAGTGTGTGGGATTTAGTGGCATCTAGTGGTGAGGACTGCATATTGCTGCTAGCTGAGACTTCTCCCATGTGCCAAGCGTGAACTCCTGGGTCCTTCAAAGTTCATTTTAACGGAGATTTTAAGTTGGAGCCAAATTATCCGCAGAGGTCTCCTTCTGTCCAACACAAATGAGCCCTGTGATTTAAACCGGTAAAAACACTGAATAAAACAGTTTCATGTCGAAAGTTGGTGCTTCTCTGACTCTTATTGGCTCATTGCAGACGGGCTGATAACTACAGTGGCCGACGCAAATGGTCTTATCTGGAGTCTGTGTTTGGTTTGTCCATTCTGGGCTTCTGTAGAAACATGGGGAATGCATAGACAAGGACCCTGATTCCTATATAGATATAAACGGCTCATTCTAAGGTAACAAAACCACAACGATTCTTACTTTCAGGTGGTTATACACTCAAGACACACCTACACACTGGACCTTTAAAATTATCAAACTAAAATGCAGGAAACATCACACAAAACTGCCCTACAACTTTTATATTTCAACTATAATTAGTATGGAAATATCTAATTCAATTAAATATTTTGTGTATCAATAATAGAGTAGGACCATGTCATCACCATTTGATGATACATGACCACATTGAGTTATTGCCCAGCCTTAGATATGTAACTCAGAAATTTTGACACTTACTTTATTGCCTGATTAAAGCATCTTGTGTATATTATCTCATTCATATTTAAAGCAATCACCTTAAACTTCAAACCAGACAAATTTGCAGACCAGCCTGCGATACAGGAGAGAGGCTGAGGAGGTGTTTGCCTGCATTTCTGCTTGACACTGAACAAATTACTTGACTGATGAAGCTTTGTGGTGTTTTCCCTCGGGCGTGGATGAATCAGTGACTGTATACACTTAAAGTGACACAGTAATACATTGTGTTTTGTCAGTGTGCAATCACACAATCAGCCATGTGAAGGATGAACGTCAGTGTAGCTGCTGAACCAGGGCCAAACATCAGCAGCGGCACATATACGGTGCGGCCACACATGAGTTATTGTTCAGAAGTGTTTCTGCCTTTTTTCTTAGGAAGCACTTAGATAACACTCTCCGTGCCCTCCAGTGGAGAAAGAGAAAGAGAGAGAAAGACGAAGAGAATGTAGGGTAAAAGAGTTTATTTTTATCGGTCTCACATGGGACTGTTGATTCTTTGCATCCATTCCATCTGCCCCCTTATCTCCTTCTCACTCTCTCTTTCTCTCCTGCTTTCCATTTTTCCCTCACGCTTTTCAGCTTCCTCAGTCCTTCACGCACAGATTCATTGTAACAGAATATAGAAGTGGTGACAGAGAGAGAAGAAGGGAGTGAAACAGAAAGAAAGGGAGCATAGTTAGTAAAATTTTACTGAAGTAGGGGAAGGAAAAGGACGTGAAGGAGAAAGTAGGCAACAAACAGCTGGTAAAAAAATGGCATTTGCAGGATTCTCAACAGGCCTCAACAGTAACAGGGTAAAAGAGAAAATTTGTAAAATATGGCAGGGAGCAGCTGACACCTGTTACAAGCCACACACTTGCAGATCCACCTGTCTTTACGTCTCCGTCTCTCTGTCTGTATCTCTTTTAACACACCAAGCATGTTCTACGTAGCATGACATTACACACAAGTTTAAAGTAGTTTTATCACTGTAAAAACTTTGTCACAGAACATGCAGTGTAACAACGTTTTGCAGAAAAACTTAGAACTTGGAGGATAAATTCGAGAAAAACCTGCTCTATCCGTGCACATGGTGTCACCCTATTGTATATTTAACCAGAGGGCACACCAGTTCAGACATGCATAGGTTACCACCTCCAGCGTGGCTTGGAAACATCCTGTTTCTTTCCAATAACACACATCGGAGCATGCTCCATAAACACACGCACACACACACCGATCCACACACAATACCCATAGAGTATCTGTCTCTGGATGAATAGCTTTTAATAACTTAGCAGTAGTCTCTGTTGAATGGTCTGTTGCCATGGACACTACTCCCATAGACAGTTTCCACAAACCAGAGATGTGTGTGTATGTGTATGGTGGGTGGATGTGGTGATGCTGGTCTCCATTCTCTCACACAGGGATGTGGTTTGAAGAGAAGTGAAGTGCAGTCATCACGTCTGTGCAGTTTCCCTACAACTCTCTGACACCTCGCTGTTTATTAAACAAGTGTATCACTCTGTGGGCAATTACTGATTTCCTTTAGATAAACTGTTCACACACAAATTACACACACACACTGCTTGTATTGTTGTCAGTTTATTTTAAGGACCAGAAGGGATGTTTCCTTTTTGCCTCTCAGGGTGACTCATCAGTGTGTATTTATGCATGTGTGTAATTACCTTGCTGGATGTCAGGTATGTAGAAAGAATTTGCCACAATATGCAAAGCTGAGTGTTCCCTAGATCTGTGGAGCAAAAGTAAAAATATTACATGTGGAGGATGTCTTCTCTCCGTCTTCGTCTTCCTCTCCCACACACACACGCAGCGCTGTTGCAGGTGAAAGAGGGTCAGAGGTAGCAGGCGGGTGTTATTGTGCTGTCAGTGAAGGGCTTACAGTGGATCGGCTGATGATTGATCACCAAGGTTACAGAGGAGCATAAATCTGGGACGCAGCTTTGGACTGGGAGAAGCAATACTTTCACTGCAACTTTTTTATGACCTTGTGCTTCTTTCCATTCTTTAAGACAGTAGCTGTGTTACGTGTGGCCCAATAACCCCTGCAGAAAATTAAATTAGTAATATTCCAAGAACATTTTTGTAATAAAATACAAATAAAGTAATGTACTGTGACTGTGTCTGTGATTTACAGACACATAAAGTACATACAAGTTGATACTGTGAACGTCTGGAAGCATTTATTGAATCATAATTTAAACTGTTCAGGGATAAAACTGCTTTGGCTTGTTACTGCTTAACCAGCTTTTGGGTTTGGATCAAGTCCCATGATGCATCTGAGTGGCTTCAGACGAGTTCTTTATGACTTTAAGAATACTTTAAAAATCCTCATGGACTAAATCAGGTTTAGATGTCAGCTTCTCTGGCTGGGTCACATAACGCAGTGAGTTTATACTTAGGAGACTAAATCTGTCCCCATCAGCGCCGAGGCACAGGAAACCAACTAAATCACCAAAACAATGACAATAAATACCCAGTGTCAACCCATTGTTTATTACCATCCTGTGTGTACAGTAGTCTGCACGTGTGTGCGCATGTGAGTGCGACGTTCACATGAGTGTGTGTGTGCATTTACGTCATGAAAAAAAGATTTGTTTTTGACTGAAGGCAGAGTCAAAATATTACATGATGACAAGGATTGTTCTCTGTTTTTCCTTTGTCTCCCACAGCTGTGTTTCTCAACTATTAATATATATCCTTTTTTAAATTCATTTTTTCATTCATCTCATCACCCTTTTTATTTTACACTTCCTATTAATGGCTCTTCTTTACCAGGGTATACTAGGGCTGCCCGCAATAGTCATCATTTAGGGCCATTAGTTGACTAGTCACCGGCATGTTTACGATATTAATTTAATTTTTAAATGATATATTTTGGGTGGGGCAACACAATGGTTTGAGTTGAAGGTGTGAGAAAGAATAGTATCAGTAACATTGTTAACACTGTGCTACATTACAGAGAAATACAAATCCGTATTAATGAACCTTCATTAATATAGGCCTATATTTTATCTACAAGTGCACGTCACACACTGAGCGAGCCGCCTGTTAATGACACTGTCGGCAAAGCAGTAATGATTGTGCTAAGTGGCTAATGGGCATGTAGCTACTTCCATGTTTCAGATGATACGTCATGTTTGTAGTCGACCAATGAAGATGAGTTTACATATCACCTTGGGTTCATCCTTCACCTTCTCAAAATGACCCCACACTTTAGATTTCCTGCTCGACATGTTATTAACTAGCCTGTGGAATAACTGCAGGTACCAGCCCTGGAAATTAGGGGCGGTAATCATGCCGTTTTTAACCACCTGGAAAATGCGAGGTCAAGTGCTGGGTGCTACTCTTGTTCCTTTTTTGCACCAGCTTTTAAGAGCGCAGTGGTAGGTTGCATCGTGTAGGCTATTTACCTGAAATCCTGAGTGCAGAGCTGATCTTCTTCTAGGCGCTTTTTATAAGTGTGTAGGCCTGTTGTCTGTGCGGCATATATAAAGCTCTGATCAGCTTTTCCGTATTTATCAGGCTGAATATTTACGGAAGAAGGGAAAGATATCTGTCGGCTGTGACTGGTTTGTAACGTGACTCCTATCAGACTGCTGAGCGTGGCCACTTCCTGTGTCTGTCCTTTCAAATTAAATTCCCACATGGTCCAGTCATATAGGTTTGGATTTATTTTGACAAGGTGTGGCTCCTAATAGTTTCACTTTTTTTTTTTTTTTTTCGCCTGCGACTAAGTGACCAATGAAATCTTGCCAACCCATGACCTTTCTGCTCGACTAACGTGTCATTGACTATTAGGGGGCAGCCATCACTCAGACCTCCAAAGGCCCTTCATTTTTAACACCTGAGCTACATTATAATATAAAATATTTATTTGATAATTATTTAGGCAAAATAATAAAAAAAATGTATGAAGCTTTTCTGCTATAAGTATTCTTCTTTATTATTCACCCATATTGTTTTTAATGAATTCCCCCATTATTGTCATTATTTTCTGTCACTATTTCTCATGTTGCCTTTTGTGTTTTTTTCAAGAGACTATAGTGGCCTTCAGCTGAATATTAAAGTTTAAATTTTCTAATAAAAAACCAAACTTTCTCAGATTACAGTTGCCAATTTTTTTGTTGGACAGCTTCCATAACTCATGTTTAAAATTCTCATCAAAGTCAAGTTTATGAATGAATAAAAGCAGTGTGATGCCCCCTCATCTCCAATTTTCTTTTCTCTTACACCGGCCTCTGCGCCAGCTTGTGTCTTCTCACTCTCTCGGGTTCTGACACACTTCAGAGAGGGGGCATTCTCCTTGCTAAAACATTCATGAACGTTTTTGTTATTTACTCCTGGAGAAAGAGAGAGGGAGAGAGAGGGGGAAAGAGAGCACCAAAGGAACCGGTTCTCCCCTGTTCCATAACTCTCCAGCCTTTTGTGTGGGTGGTCAATGGGAGGGCGTCATAGTGTGGTTAGACTTTGCGGGTGAGAACAAAATGTGAGAAGGACGGAGGATGAATGTGTGTTTGTGTATGCACATGTTACACAAAAGGTGTGATAATGCCATAGTCATAATGCCACCTTTAGAGGTCGTTACGGTAATGAGACCCTCAATGTCTGTTTGTGACAAGTTCGGCTTTCTGCTGTGAAAGCAAATGGCGCTTCTTTGCCAGACTTGGCAGACCATCGCATTACACTGCAAATCGTGAGCTGTAGCCCATAGTAACGTGTCCGGATAGCTGATGCGGTTTAGAGTAATCCAGCAGTTTGGACTATGAAATATTAGCAGTCACATGACATTACATATTCCTCCCAGTTTTCCACTGCGAGTGCACCAAGTTCTGCTTGGCTGCTCTGGTCAAGGTCACTTCCCCATGCAGACAGTTTGATCACTGGCTCCCAGTGCTGGCATTACCTGCCCAGTCCAATTTGGCTTGGCAGTGGTTCTGTCAGTTGCCTTGCTTGGCCGAGCTGTACAATTTCTAGCCCTGAGACCACCTTGTAAATGGAATGGGAAGCTACAACATTACCACAAAAAATAAAAACACATAAACAAGCTCTGAGGGAGTGTTTGACGAAAAGAAGAAGAGGACCAGACTGTTGGGACATGGCCAAAACAACCGTCATGGCAGAGAGCAGCGATCCTCAGTGCACATTCAACTGAGCAGGCAGACGAGTGAATGGAGAGGTGAATCTGTGGTCACAGAAATTCTAAGTGGTTGGAAATTCTGAAAGCTTTCTAAAACCAAGGCTGTCTCTTTCAGACACCCCTGGAAACTTAATAAAATAATTGAAATAAATGTTGACCTGATGGATTTTCTTCCACTTCCACGCTGCCCACAGTTGCTGTGATTTTCACAGAGTGATTATCATATTATGCTGAGCATCACTTTTCTTTCCATTTTTCTCTGCAGACATGCTGGAGTCGAACAACCTTGTGACGTTTGAAGGCCTGGCCAACAGCTCGGCTTACCACACCTTCCTGTTGGACGAGGAGAAAGGAAGACTGGTGGTGGGAGCCAAGGACCACATCTTCTCCTTTAACCTCCTCAACATCAGCAGAGACTACGCACAGGTAACGCCAGTGTTTGATTTTCAGTCTGTCTGTCTGGTGTTTCTATCCATTTATCATGACTCTAAGATTGTTTGCGTTTCTGACCGACTTAATATCTGCCTTGAGTGTGCATCTCCGTCCAGAGTGCCAGTCAGGGGCTCAGGTATCTCGGGACTTTCTTTTCTGTTTCTACAGAAAAGAGCCTCATGAATATTTCAGACCAGGGCTGTCGCACACCATCACACGCTGTGCCAGGCATGTTAGCTGCTCTCTGCACACCTGGATGAATAATGGAGTAAACTGAAACAAAGTGGATAACAAATCGCATTGTGACCCCTTCAACCCTTATATACACACACATTCGTGCACACGAGCAGTAGTTGTATCGACACACTCTGTTAAATTGATTCGAGGAGGGGGGGTTATTCTTCTCTAACATCTCTAACATGCACAGGAACTGTGTTTGTGTTGCAGATCCCCTGGCCGGCTTCTCCCACCAGAAGAGACGAATGCAAGTGGGCAGGAAAAGATCTCTCGGTAAGAGCTAAAACCATCCATCTTGCAAGCGGGTGTCAGCATTTTGCCCCTCCACTCCCACAGATGTTTTTGAAAATGTCTTTGTTCTCTTGTGCTGTGAAAGAAGTGCAACTCTGCAGGTCTCAGAGTAAACCTCACAGATGCACTGGGATTACATAGAACGTGCACTCCACATATATACATGGTATTTTAATCATAAACAACATGAGATTTTTTTTTTTCATCTTGGAGCTTGTTTATTCCATTGTGTTGACATATCCAATCTGTCACATGGACAGCACACCGCCTGGCTCACCATAAAGTCTGATCATAATCTCAGAGCCAAGCTTGAGACCATCATTTGACCTTAATCACTCATCAAGCCTCTGGGCACTTCATTTAATAGAGTGAGGCCTTGGAAATTGCTGTGCTTTCTGCTCGACTTACGGGTATAACATTACTGCATGAGTAATAACTACTGTTATATATTCAGGGATCATCATGGGCCACGTGATTAGACCGAAATGTTTTCATGTTTCTCCATTTGTGCTTTTAAATTTCAGTGTTCGTACATTCCTCTCATTTTAGGTATTTTCCGATTCACCTCGTTGGCTCGGCTTCGGCTAATTTACCCCATTTGAATCAGACAAACTTGTGTCAGTCAATCAGAGTATATTGGTGTGGCTGCCATGCCAATTAGGACTCAGTCGCTTTAACTACATAATAAAAGCATTATCCTTACCCTAACCCCTACAGTAATATATTTGAGAACAAATTATACACTTAATCATCTGGGATTTCTAAAGCTGTACAGTGTATCCATTTGTTTAGGATAATAATCTTTTATTGAATCCGATGAGCTTCGAGGGTTGAGTATCTAAAACAAAAAAGAGTTGTTGCGGCGTTGAGATCCTGGGCTTTTTTCTCCTTACCTTACTCAACCCTCGCATGACAAGCCAAGCATCACATCTCCCCAGTTTGTGGCCGAGTACAGTTTTAGAGCATCTTGTGTGGTGTGGTGCAACTCTATGTAAACACGCTGAGAGGTTGTCTCTGCTCCCTTCAAGCTGTGTGTTATGAATTCTGTCTTCAATAGTGCCTGAGGCAATAGGCTGGAATGTGAAATCACTGGCGATGTTGTTTGTGCCTTGGTTTCGCTGCCTGGGCATTGTCCAAGCCCTCCTGCCCTTCTGTGTGGCTGATTTGAAGCGCTATGAAGCCCTTTGTGTGTTTTCTGTAAACATTGTGGCGTGGATGAATAAGGTGCCCTGAGGGGTGGTCTTCCTGTTATAGAGTCGGAGGAGAGTGAGAATTAAAGGGAGATGGAGAGTGAGTCTGCCGATGCCCCCTGATGTACTGTAAGCAAACACTTCTGGAGATAAAGCAGAGAGGAAAGAAAGAGAGAGATGGGTGTGAAATGTGTGGCTGTATACCCACAAGAGAGAAAGGAAAGCTGCAGCTATCGCACAGCCAAACAAATGTGCACAAAGTCAATGCCAAACATGAAAATCTCTCAACAAAATGTCGACCAAGCAGTGTAAGGGAAAAGTATTTGCTATTTAGGGTTAATATTCATATTTATTTTGCTTCCTGCTGCACATTTAGCTCCACGTCTAATGCTTGCACTCACTTTCTCATTTTTGTCACAAGCCACTAATGTAAGGTATGACATGTTGGACACACCTGTATGGTTTGAGTCACCTTGTTTGCATCGTCATGCTAAATGCTCAGACGTACGACGAAGAGCACAAAGAGATCACACAGATACTGTACTTACAGTAGTCTGTTATCGTTTGTAACAATGATGTCCATCACTCGGATAATTCCACCCACACAGGCCGTATAAATCCAGGCAGACAGCTGCTTAAAAGACAACAAAAGCTTACACAAACAGAGGCTGCTGATGACCCAGTAAAGCCAGATGAACTTAGTCATGCATAATTCGTGGTGCTTTTCTCTCTCTCTCTCTTTTTTTTTTTTTTTCCTCTTTTTGAATATGTGATGACACATTCAGTTTTATTTGAGGTCAGCTCTGCTCAGGCACATGCTGCACGGAGTACAGAGCAATGCATACAGCACATGCAGATGCCTGTTGTGCCAAACACACACCCACACACACACACACACAGACACACTCTCTCACACACACGAAGAAATTATTAATTAAAGGGATACTTTGAGGATTTTCAACCAGCTTTGTGTCATAAAAATGTGGTTAGTGTGTGTAAATGAACTGTGGTAAACTTCCCTCCATCCTGCCAGCGCCCAGATTTCCCTGCTCATCTCTCAGCTCAGATACACTGGATGACCAGTTTTACAACATTCAACAGATTTTCGCTGTTGCTTGAACACATTCTTACTCCAGCCTCATCACATATCGATGTATGGTTAGGTACCCTGGGTGTGTTAGTGACGTTCTGGGACACCATGTCAACTTCTGCCTGTTACATGCATTGTCTTTTTTTAAAATACATTATTTTCACAGGAAATTTACAGTGTACATACAGTCTCTTTAAAATTAAATCATCTACATCGGTACCACTCTGCAAATTGACTTCTTTTCCCCTTCAACAACAAAAGCACATGGTTAGGTTCAGGAAAAAATAACGGTTTGGCTTTAGAATCTTGCAGGACACAAACACCGCTCTCCCAGGTGAAAGTCGGTGTATGTTGGACCCATCCACTACCACTCCCTTCACCGCCTTAACTTTCATTCTGGTCCTGCCGCCCCTGAAGCCGCTGGGTGCTGTTAAACTATAACGTTTCTATTTTGTTGGTGTCTGGCGCTGCAAGTCATTGCCCAAGCGCCGGATTTCGACGACTTCGAAGTGAGACCGGGTTGGTTGCTTGATCTACAGATCATACTTCTGCATTTTTGTGTGCCCGCCACCCCAGACACAAAGACTATAGAAGCCGATTAACAGAGAGACCTGCCCCTCTCTTTCTCTCTCAAATGAAACGGTAAAACTAGGCAGCGCTGATCAAATATAAACCAAGATTATGTCACTGTATTGCTTTTTTCTTGCCTAAAACGTTTCCAGAAACATATTTTAGTGCTCTGTTTGGCTGTAATATGAGAATTTGTGAACAGGAAGCAGCCACCATACTGTTTCCTGTGTTGTAAAAACGGTTTTCTCTGGTCTTACAGCACCACGTTCAAAAGTATTTGCTTCTTTCTGCTGCATAGACATCCTAGTTATCTGAAAAGACTGTCGTTCCAGCTGAGAAATACATAAACTACAAAAATACTTGTGATAAATATTCTTATATTTCTACATTAATGATACATATATGACTTGTATTCTCTGCTGACAAAATGACAGTAAGCCAACGTTGGCCTGCATTACTGTGATTCGTGTGTGGTGGGATTATTATGGTTGACGTTTGTCGACTGCCTCTTTTGTTATTCTTCGGTCTGATTCCCTCCTGTATGGATTTCACAATTATTCCATGGGAAATGACACAGCTCATGTGCATAAAGTCTCTGAGACCTGCAGTGAAAGATGTCACTGAGTTCAGAGAGAGAGAGAGAGAGACTGGAGCATGTGTGTGTTTGTGCATGAGTGTCTGTACATTGTTTTTGTGTGTGTGTATGTGTCAGTGGAGATGGAGATGGAGGTGGGGGTGCGGTATGAAAAAAACAGAGTCATGGATGATGAAGCTTAGTCTGGTCATAATATTAATATCAGAATTATTACTCAGCACAGTGTTAGAGTCCAGAGGCCATTCTGTGGGGAATTACAGTAGATTACAGTAGGATTTGCTCTCTGTTATCATTACAGATCTCTCTGTTTGAGTATTGGATTTTGCTCTATGACCTGTTCTCTTAGTGAGGTCTGACCTGTTTATTTTTCCAGCTTTTTACCACTTTTTCTCTGACCTAAATGTCAGCTGCTATCACAACAAGCTTTTGGACAACCACGGAATTAAAGACTGTACTGTGACTTTAATAGTTTTGTGTCAAAGGTCGATATTTCATCCTGCTTAATTTGTCCTCTGTCTCTGGTCCATCAGAGGGAGTGCTCAAACTTCATCAAGGTGTTGCAGCCGTTCAACCAGACCCATCTCTATGTGTGTGGGACAGGAGCCTTCCACCCTGTGTGTTCCTACCTGGAGGTGGGCAAGAAACCAGAGGTACAGGCACATGTTACATTTTCCTCACCCCCCCTCCCTGCTGTCAAACACTATGATGCACCTTAGCATTAGAAGCTATCCAGAGTTTCATTTCATAGTAAAGTATTTAAAGTTGTGAAGCACCGTGTGTAGTCGGGTGTGAGTGCATTCTCTCATGATTTGCTAAGTACATAAAAATGGTTTCATTCAGCAAAATGAGGTGGAAAATTACACACAGGGTTTCAGAGTCTGCTGGATTTCCAATTCATCACTCTAATATGGAGCCCGCTGTGTGTGTATGTGTGTGTGTTCATTTCAGTATGAGTGAAGGAAATTGCTCTCCTATCCTCCAAATGTCACTACGTCAGACTTATAAATGTGCGTTTCCTATTCATTAGACGGCTATTTACAGACAATTAGAGACGGGAAATATCTCTGACAAAAGCCATCTACTGTATATAGATCTTAAGCTAGAAGTGTAATTCATCTGATGGGCCGAGGTTAACGAGTCAGAGAGAGTGATGGGATTTATTGTTTTTATTCACAATCCTTTCGTCTTAGAGTATGACGGTGGAAACGGAATATTTAACTACACCAGTCTCTCAAATTCTCTATTATCCTTTGCTCATCTCTGCCAGGCATAAGCCTAGAGGGATTCATATGTTTGGATGTGTGTGTGTGAGTGTGCGTATCTGTCTGTCCGCAGCTATTCATGCAGCTACTGGACCAATCAGCCTAATATTTTGTGTACACATTTTTGACTGTATCCTTAAGGATCTCTCATGGTTGCAGTGATTCACAGTTGTTAAGAAAACTTTTTTTTAACTGTTTTATACCGACATTGAATCCTCACCCCTCTTAACCAGCTGGTAGACACCACAAGTTTTCCGGAAATTGGCTCGGCGACAAACAGGACATACCGTCTGTCGCAGGCCACATTTTGGCTTTTGTCATGACTCAAAAAAAAAGACATTCAAAAGTCAGGTCTCACTTTGAACCGGAGCATCTGCAGATTAATCCCATAGCTGGTATGATGTGATCCACTAAAGTTAGGCGTGTTACGAGATAAATTAGTGCCGCTTTTGTTATCGTTGCTGCCATCTTGACTGTAAGAGTACCGGGAGGGACAATTCTATCGGGCACAGCTGGGCTAATTACATAAAAACATATTCATCCTCTTAACTGCATCATACCTGTATTTCACGTACAGTGCCTGTTAGCAAGACTCAATCTACTCTTTGCAACCCGCTGCAGCTCAAGGCGTGCATTTTTTTTTAGCTTCTGGAATGATTCTAAAACAGTGGTTCCCATTGGTGAGTCGTGGTCCGAACATGGGTTGTGGGTCCACTCTGAATGGGCTGCAAGTGAATTTAGAACATGTCAAGTTTATGAAAAACACACTTTATTTTTAAGTACATGGCACAGTGCTTTTATTTTGAAGTGCCGTTTCCAGTGGCTCCTTGACCGAGACAGCAAACTAGCTTGACGACATGGCCGCAGACAAGTTTGATGCTGAATGTATTAAACTATGTGGACCTTGAACTTGGCCACCTGGTGGAGATATGCGCTCTACTGAGTGCACTTTTCTAGTTTTTAAAACATGTTCCATGCTGCATGAGACACATAATGTGTTCTTTATTTGCTTCATTCCTAAACTAGTTCAAGCAAAAAAACATATTGAAGTTTATATGGAAAACCAAAATGTCATTTGTTGATGGCTGCACTCATTTTCTGTGATTCACTGTGAAATATTAGCCAACCGTTTGGACTCAAAAATTCAGTTCTATGGGCCGTGACTATGCTCATTTTCAGAAAACACTACAATGTTCTCCCAACCTTTGATGTCACAGCAAAAACTGGTTCCCAAGAGAGAATCCCAGCATTTCTTCCTGTGTAATTTGCACAAGTATGGCCTGAAAATACCATGAACCCCTGTATTTGAAAGCTCACTACGACTCTTGTAACTTTCTGTCTCGTCATGTCCAGGACAGCGTATTCAGGCTGGAGCCTCTCATAGAAAATGGTCGTGGGAAGAGTCCCTATGATCCCAAGTTACTCACAGCCTCCATGCTAATTGGTGAGTGTAAGACCGGACACACTGTGCTGTTCTTCTGTGTGTTAGAGCAAGGTCATATAAAAACGTGGGAGTCCTGAAAACACCCTCTGCCTCACTCTGTCATTTCCACAGATATATAGGGTATGAAGTAAATGTGAATAACAGAACAGGGTGCTCCTGTCATTCATTACAAGTGGGTCTGCTCTGTAGTTTGTATTTACACACTAGGAACCCCTCATTGGCAGGTCTGTTAAGTCTTTTTCAATCTGAATATGCCTCCTTTAAGTGCTGGGCGTGCATTGCAGATGACACTTTATTGAGTTTTCTTTGTGCTCAATCTCAATTTTTGGCAAATAAAGCAGGACTGTGTGAGCATGTCTTTTCTCTCTACCCCCAATTATTGCCAGTCACATTATGTTATATCACACCGTTTAACCTAGCAGATGGCTATTTTCCAGCCCATCACCCCTCATCGCCTCTCCCCTTTCTCTCTCCCCTCTCACCAGCATTATTATGTACTCCCCCTGTCTCACACCTCTGTCCTGTCCCTCCTCATGTGTCTCTCCATTCATTCACCCCTACCCTTGCCTCCCTTCTCAGCCCTGCCTACTGTGTTAATGTCAATTTCACACTCCTGATGTTCATCACGTCCATCACTGTCTGTGTTCTCTCAGGACGTCGTGTCTACCTGTACTGCTAAGCCCCTGAACAATTCCACAGACTTTTACACATGCATCACCGGGGAGAAATCACCTCACGCTCTTTTCTCATCTGGCGTCACTAAACTAACATGCTTCATTCCTCTTACTCTCAGATGGAGAGCTGTATGCTGGGACATCAGCTGACTTCATGGGGCGGGACTTTGCCATATTTCGCACTCTTGGAAAGCATCACCCAATCAGGACGGAGCAACACGACTCCCGATGGCTAAATGGTGAGAAAAGAAAAATCACCGGCCGTCTCTGGGATTGTATTCATAAGTAGTTTCAAATATGCAATATATTTTGAGTCCTTGATTTTGCATCAACTCTTGCCTCTTTTATTTTCTATCTGTAAACTACCCTTAGGCCTTTAACTCAGTAGTTTTAATATAGCTTTCCATTTTTGTGTGAATGGCACTCAGCTGTACTAGAAAACTTCCTAACCCAAGGGATGGCCTGGTCTCTATGGACTATGAGAGACATTGTCCTAAACTTTTCTCAGTTTAAATGCAGATGAAACAAAGGTCCTTGTTGCTGTCTCAGAGAAAAACGACCCTGCAGCAGTCTCTGGGTTTTGTGTTTTCTTCATTGGCACTTGGTCAGTGGCCCTTGACATCAGACACAGATGCAAAGAGGTGCTCTTTAGCGGCAGTAGTAGACATTTAGGGCAAACAAACCTTGGACTTTCACCCAGGAGATTGCTGGTCATGGATCACGTGAAACTAAAATCGAGGTATTTTAATGGCAACTCAGTGTGCTTATATGTACAGTATACTAGAGACTATAGACATATGACACATGATATATGTGGCATACGCCCTGTGACAAAACATTACATAAGTAAGTGAGTACTTATTTTAAGCCAAACCATGATTCATTCATTCATTTTCCGTAACCGCTTATCCTGTTAGGGGTCACGGGGGGGCTGGAGCCTATCCCAGCTGACATTGGACAGGTCGCTAGACTATCACAGGGCTGACACATAGAGACAGACAACCATTCACGCTCACATTCACACTTACAGCCAATTTAGAGTCACCAATTAACCTGCATGTCTTTGGATGGTGGGAGGAAGCTGGAGTACCCGGAGAAAATCCACGCTGACACAGGGAGAACATGCAAACTCCCCACAGAGGGGCTACCCCACCCAGAAGCTGCAGCTTTTCTGCCTGTCTCAAACTATTGCTGCTTGTCTTCTTGCAAAGATGAAGAGCAAGGAGCGCATTACTCCTTGCACATTAGTGTCTGCTTCTCTCCACCAGCTGCATTTGAAGTTTAGAATTTAATATAAAACTTCTGTTATTACTTTTTAGGCTCTACAAGAGGGAAGCCCCTAAAGCATCTCTCTAAAAATGAAGGGATACCCATTATTTGATTTCGTTATTGCTCTTGTGTTTACTGTTCTGCCTGTTTGATGTTTATTACTAAATGGTATTATTGCAAAGCACTTGGTCATTTTTCTGTGAAAAGTGCAAAATAAATCAACGCCTTGAGGTAAAACATTATCACTAAATAATACTTTCCTTGATTTTCATCATTTCAAATGTGTGTCACTGTGTGTGTTGCAGATCCCAGGTTTGTGGGCGTTCATCTGATTCCAGAGAGCGACAACCCAGAAGACGACAAAATCTACCTGCTCTTCAAAGAAAACGCTATCGATGGAGAGCACGCTGGGAAAGCCACACATGCTCGCATCGGACAGCTCTGCAAAGTACGCATACGCACATTAACACACAGCCACATGTCCATTCAAACACACTCACACAAGCTGGCTCTCACAAAGGAAATTCAGATGCACACAATGGGAGACAGACAAAGACACACACACTCTCACACCGACATTATATGAAATAGCTTCTGTATCTGGAAAAACACTTGACGGGTGTCTGAGTGGCTTTTATGATGGCAGGTTTCAGGGGCTGTTATCTGTGATTATTTTTAGCCTGGAGAAGAGTGGGCTTTGTTGTGTGTGGTACAATCAGCCCCCGAAGACAGAAACCTGAGAGAAATGTTAAATGTCACCAGAACCTGAGAGGCAAAGATGCTGTCAATGGCAGCACTGTTATCCTAATGCCAGGCTTTGGCACTCATTGGGCCTGCTACACGCTCTAGCTCCAGGGGATGGTCATGTTAAATCACTGGCCTTGTATCAGCTTTCACGTTCCAAAATCCTCTTCTTATTCATTAAGCAGGAATCCACCAGGCTGACTGCAGATCAGCGAGTAATGTCCAGCCTCAACCTCCCATTTAGCTGCATGTCGTGCCTCTGTCATAACAGCGTGATTACCCAGTATGTCAGGAATCTGCTATGCTCAACGAAAGACAAGCCATCCATTATGCAAGATGTGGTATTAATTTGGGCCTATGCATATTTGGACACATTCTAATTTACTGTCATAAATCAATAACAAGTTTTTATGAGCCAGCACTTTGTGCCTCTGTGTTTGTGTGCTATGTGCTAGAAAACAAACACTATACTGTGAAGCACACAGACACATATTATTAGGGTGTGTAATGGAACATACAGTACTTTAGAGACAGCTGTCTTTCTTTACACCATCTAGAAACCCGTTATTGATAAGGGGAGATGCATTTAAAGTGGATGTTTGGTTCATGACAGGCTTTTTTAGTAATTAAAAGGAACAAATCCCGCACTGAAATTTTTAAACCACCTTTAATAAAAAGTTTATGTTTCATATAGTCTGTTGAATCTGTTTTAAATCAGCTTTCTGGAATATATTTTTCCCACTAAAGCTGAAAATACACCGGTACCGCCATGGCACGTCACGTGCTGCATGTGCAGCCTATGAATTAGCTTAAAATCATGTGTGGACGGCCCCTAATCAAACTTGATTTCTCACCTGAAGAGTCGATCTCCAGAGCCATGACTCGCCAGGCAATATCTTTTTGTCGTTGTCTTTATGTGGACAGGATTGTGGGTCGTTTAGCTCAGGATATTTGTCGACCTCAACAACAAGTGTCTCCTCATCCACTCTTTGTCACACATGAGAGAGCTACAGAGTTCTCTTTATATGTCAGTGGTGAGGAGAGGACTCGAGCAGCCATAGGAGTAGAGAAAAAGAGTTGGTATGTATAAGCAGAGAGGGAGTAAGGAACAAATGCATTTAATTCAAGAGCGGTGAGGCTGGAAAAAGGACAGTGGCTTAAGTTGCTGCAGAGTGGCAATGTGCGTGTTGCTGCCACCACTGTGGGGTTACACATTGAAAATAACGGGCAAATTTTTTGACGTGTGCTGTTCGGCGCTGGTGTGTTTTTGCCTTTAGCTGTCCGGGTGTCTATTAGTAGAAAGAATCAGTCAATGTAAAGACTTCTGAAGACAGTTTAAGTGTTAAGTGTGTGTACTACCCAGAGGTGGGAACAAGTAATTGTTGTGCATGTCATAAGTAAGTCTTTCCACTCAAGTCCCAAGTCAATTCCAAAGTCTTTTGTTGAGTTTAAAGTCCTAAACAAGCCACAATACACTCTTCACCAAATGTAGTGACATTTTAACAGCAGAGTAGTAACATTATTACATCTACAAAAATCAAGAATGCTTTTTAAAATTTATATTTGTTTGTTATAACAAGTTTGCGGGAAGTTGTCTCTGTCAGTAATTTTTGACCAAGAACTGCAGTTTGGTTTTTGTTGATCACTGCATAATTTTCCTACCCAAACAAAATTATCTTTAGTATCATTTTTTCCAACTGGCGCCCAGTAACAAAACATTAGTTCTTCATGGATCTCTCTTGCAACTTGACTGGATGTGTTCTGATTGGTTTAAACAAAGTGGATCTGGGGAATTAAGTGTCCAATCACAAGGAATGAATAGAGTTACTGTTGACTTATTCAGCAAATTATTAGTTGCACACTTTTTAAGTAACATAGTTTTAATTATTTGGGCTTAGAAGTAAGAACTATCAAGTCAAAGGCTCAAGTACAAGTGAAGTCATAAGTTACTGGTGTTTAAGTCCAGGTTAAGTTGCAAGTCTTTTTTGATTTTGTGACTTAAAGGGGCAATAAGCAAAATCGTTTCACCGCTAGGTTCGCTGTTGTGCACTGCCTGTAGAGCAGGCACACTTGCCTCGCCGGCGAGTACCGCAGCACCTCCACGGACTATCACATCCAGACGGTCCCGGTGTTTCTTCCGCAGGCTCCGCTTCACTCAGCTGCCTGATATACCCGCTGCTTCTTCCCACATTAACCTGAATAACAAACCAGGGCTTGGTGCTCCGGTTGGATCCATACGGAGAGCCGCTAGCTGGGAAGCTAGCGGAGGCTAAGTGGGTGTGTTAGTAGCTGAGTGAAGCCCCCGCTTTCGTTGTAGGCAGATTCACTCACCACAGGGGCGAGGAAATAAAATCTGAACAGCCAACTTAGTTTAGCAGTTAGCAATGTCTTTCACTCACTCTCGGTCTCTGCTGTGTTTAGCTATTTCCCTGCTTTCCTGTTAGCATTAGCACTTACTCGGCTGCCACGCTAACGCTCCAACTGAGCCGGGAGCCGGGCTCACGCTTCTCCGCCAGGCTCAGTGAGTCGGAGCCGAGAAGCGTGGGGACGTTAGCGTTAGCCGGCTGCTATGCTAATGTTCCGGGAGCCTGCTTCTCGGCTCCAGCGAGCTCTGGCGTGGGGACGTTAGCCTGCACTAGTCGGCTGCTATGCTAACGTTCCGGGAGCCTGCTTCTCGGCTCCGGCGAGCTCTGGTGTGGGGATGCTAGCCTTAGCACTAGTCGGCTGCTATGCTAACGTTCCAACTCTTCACCGTGAGCCAGGCTCACGGGCTCCCGGCTCCCGGAGAAGAGAGGAATGTTAGCTTTAGCTCCCACAGTTAGCACTAGAGCTACTACGGCTACTGGAGTAGCTTGCAGCTATGGAGCTCTTCTACCAGCTCTTCTAGTCACTGAGCCTCGCCTCCATTTCAGCAAATATATTACATTTATTACAGGTACCATCATCATTGAAGTAGGCAGGGGAATAGCTAAACACAGCCGCCAGACTGCCCGCCGGGCTACATTTTACAATGCTAATTGCAAACGTTAGCTGGGCTGCCGGGCTACTCACGTAACACAACCAAAACGCCTGACCCATTGCTGGGACCGAAGCTCTGGACATTAACCCATGCTACGATTGTAACATTAAATTTAATTGAATCGACATAGCGACATGTGCCTAACGTTACTGTAACACTAATTAAAACAGACATTTGACTTTATGTCGTACCTGTCCAGGAGAAGAAGAGCTAGCTCCGAGTCAGATTGTAGCCCCTTTAGCTCTCGCAGTGCTCTCCACCTTGGAAATGCAAAGCCAATGTTAATCCAAGTTCTCTCCCTTTCTTTATCTGACAACTTCTTCGCCAACAACCGTTGTTTCTTTAGAGGTAATGGCAGATCCTGGTCTTCTTCAGGTGGACGTTCTGCTCTCTGCCATTTCATTTCGAAAATAACCGCTGCCATTGCTCACTGGCTGTAGCGTTTTATAGGGAGGGAGGGCCAAGGGCTCCGAGAGGAGGAGGAGGAGGAGGAGGAGGAGGAGTGGGGGATCCACATGAACGCACAGCCGGACCGGCTTGTAAACAATGGGCTGGAGATCAACACAGAGAGAGGGTGTGTGAGGTCATACTATACTCCAGATGAAATTACACCTCTAGTTCTTCACATAGCAATTTTTTAATTCCTTCAATCTAGAAATGATGAATTTCGCTTATTGCCCCTTTAAGTCTGAGTCTGACTCAAGTCCAAGTCATGTGACTTGAGTCCACACCTTTGGTGTTATCATAGATGTATTCCCTCATGATCTGACCTTGTAAACCATCTTAAAAACTGTCTGCTGTAGCTTTGTAAGGAAGATTTATGCTTTCATGACCTCTAATCTGGAGGTCTTTAAAAAGGTTCTTCATAAGCTTTGGAATACACTACTAGTCCAATCTTTATTTATTACCAGTTCTTCATGTCTGTTTGATAATATGAATGACAATATTGTATCTATAGTATGCTCTAATGTGAATAAGAGGGGGGAAGACAGAATCAGTTGCATAGGGTAGGCAGTTCTCATGCTCTGTATATCCAGCCATCAAGCAAACACCACACCTCATTCAGCCAGAGGGTAATGAGCCATATATTCTCAGCTCAGCAGTAGAGTATGAAATTAGGCAATGCAAGTCCTCCATCAACATTATAGCCAATGACTTTTTTTTTTTTCATTTTACAGACACAAAGCTGCATGTAAATAGCAAGCCAGAAAAGTAATTTAGGAGTATGATGATATATTGGTATATGCTATGGTAAAAGAAGGAGGAGAACTGTGAAAAATAAAACAGTAATCGTCTTGATTTTTCTGTAACTTCCAAGTAATTCATTTCCTTGCTGAGCTTCTCCATGTGATCCGCCCAACAGAATGACCTGGGAGGTCACAGGAGTCTGGTGAATAAGTGGACCACCTTCTTGAAGGCTCGACTCATTTGCTCTGTGCCCGGCAGTAATGGAATAGACACACACTTTGATGAACTACGTGAGTAATTGCTCCAGCACTCTTTCACACAATATTTCCTGAAGAGGAAATACTATCTTTTCAGTGGAGAATACATCTGTAATATTCAGTGTCTTCCCTTTGGCTTTCAGAGGATGTTTTTCTCATGAGCACAAAGGATCCTAAGAGCCCAATCATTTATGCAGTATTTACCACTTCCAGGTACTGTGGCTGACATGGTAATAGTTTTATCTGTAATCACTGAATGCATGACCTGCGTTTCCAACAAAAACCTGACCTTTCTGTAACCGACTCATTCTTTCTGCCCATTAGCAACATCTTCAAAGGCTCAGCTGTGTGTATGTACAGCATGACAGACATCAGGAGAGTGTTCCTGGGTCCTTACGCTCATAGAGATGGACCAAACTATCAGTGGGTGCCCTTCCAGGGACGTGTTCCATACCCACGGCCCGGCACAGTGAGTACAGTGCACTCTTAACTGGGATGTGTCTCTTATGAGCTGAGCTTGAAAGTTAATTCCTCGCCATGTCCTACAAAGCAGATAACCTTTTTCTCTCTATAGTGCCCGAGCAAGACGTTTGGAGGATTTGATACAACTAAGGACCTTCCTGATGAAGTCGTAACTTTTGCTAGAAGCCACCCGGCCATGTTCAACCCCGTATACCCCATTAACAATCGACCAATCATAGTCAAAACAGATGTGGACTACCAGTTCACCCAGATAGTGGTGGATAAAGTAGAAGCAGAAGATGGCCAGTATGACGTCATGTTCATAGGAACAGGTACACACTTACAGATACTGTATAGTGTAAACTGCAAGTGGTTTATTGACTGATAGATGGATACACATGTGCTACAGAGTGGATATTAACTCAAGATGCGTGTGTTTGATTTGTGTGGTAGACATGGGGACGATACTGAAAGTGGTATCCATCCCCAGAGGCTCCTGGCATGACCTGGAGGAAGTCCTACTGGAAGAAATGACTGTCTTCAGAGTAGGTTATTTTCTAATCAATTGTATGAAAGGATTGAAAGTGGAAAGGAAAGGAAAGTTTGTATAATTTCTCTATCATTTTTTTCTTTCAGGAGCCGACAGCCATAACAGCGATGGAACTTTCGACAAAACAGGTATTTATTGTCCTTTTTATTGCATGTAAAATGAAGCTATAGCAACACGTGTAGCAGAACAGAGCTGTGTAGACAAAGAGGAGATCTCAAGCTATATCAAGATAACTCTGATAGAGAATATTACCTCGGTAAATGAGTTCAGTGGAGGCTGCAGATAAGCCTCCGAGATTGCATTGGGGAGAAACCTGTGGAGATTTGATACATAACGAAAAATGTTACAAGCGAGAGCTGTTTTTGCGTGTGCCTGACAAACCTGTCTGTTAGAGAGTGAGAGCTTCGCCTCACAGGTGACACGCCTCGCTGCTTGGCTGAAATACAAAATAAAGACGCGCTTGTCTAAAACAGTTTAAGATGAAAGATTTTATCGCACAAAGATCTCAGTTGTTGGCTTTCAGGCAACAGTTAGCTCGTCAACTTAAATGGCAAGGAGAGACAAAACGAGACAGCTAATTGACAGGTAGGACTGTACCTGAGCACCTGTAGTAAAAATGGTCTGACCACATTCCTTACTTGTGTTTTCACTTCACTGACGCACACAAGCCGAGACAAACATAGGGGTATTTCTCAAAGCACGTTGCTCATCCAGAAGTAAAACCTAAATCACAGCTCCCTAAGGCATCAAGTATATGATCTTGAGAATGAAACCTTTCTCTCTCTTTACCTTCACAGCAACAACTGTACCTCGGTTCAGACATTGGTGTGTCCCAGATGCCTTTGCATCGGTGTGAGGTCTATGGGAAGGCCTGCGCTGAATGCTGCCTCGCAAGGGACCCTTACTGTGCATGGGATGGCGCCGAGTGCTCCAGATACTTTCCCATGGCTAAGAGGTACTGAACACATACTTCCACATTCATGTCAAGGCACCACCGTGCCATTGTGTTTTACAAGCTGCCTGACACTTTGTACACAGTGGCTAATCAGTGCTCAAAACACTGAGTGGGTATTTTTGAAGTTTGCCCCAAATGCAGTATGATAGTTCCAACATGAAACAGAAGCAGACACTTTAACATACCTGGCTTGGTATAGATTGAAGCATAATGTTTGTTTACAGTACTTTTTAGGTAGAAAATCCCTGTGTCACACACATAAAACACTACCTGGGGTCTACATTATATTTAGAATATATTTCACCACTTTACCTTGCCACCACCAGACTATCCCAATTGACATTGGGCGAGAGGCAGGGTACACCGTGGACAGGTCGCCAGACTATCACAGGGCTGACACATAGACAGACGACCATTCACGTTCACATTGACACCAACAGGCAATTTAGAGTCACCAGTTAACTTGCATGTCTTTGGACTGTGGGAGGAAGCCGGAGTACCCTGAGAAAACCCATGCTGACACAGGGAGAACAGCTTTGGAGTTTGCTCTTCTGTGGGTACATCACCAAAGCAAAAATCTCAGATAGGTCAGACCACCGTGTCTTTAAATGTTATCATTGAGGCTAAAAATGACTATTTAAAGAATCTTCGCAATACAGTGCATTTGCAAGTTGTCAGAATTCGGTCCATACGCATTCAATTTGATTGGCCAACTGTAACACGCTGCAAGTAGCGCAGTTAGACTGTACGTGTCTTATGAAAAGAACAACCTCAACAGAAAGGTGTGTTTGTGTTTTGCATGAGAGCAACCTGCTTTAGATTTAAACATACTAAATGTACAACACATGTTTGAATCATGCTTGTTTAAGAATTACTTTTGTTTAACATATTGACTATATTTTACAGACGTAAAACCAGATCATATAGAAGGCTTTTCACATCGTGATTGAGGACATATGCAGTCAGACCGCGATCGAGGGCTGGAGCTAGGACACGCTTATAGTGCAGGCTTTGTATATTTGCCAAAACCCCCTAAAGGTAGAGGGTCGTATTTCTACCAGAGAGCTAGAAATATAACCTGCCTCATGTGTTTACTGTAAATGAGACCCAGTGTCAGTGATGTCTGGAGGCTGTCTGGGTGAACCAGGGGTGAGGTAGGTGTTGGAGGTTCGGCGGTAGCGTGGTTGTACGTAGTAGTGGACCGATCTGTGTGTGCTCATGTGTGTGCTCTGTGTGCTGCCTCCCACTCACAGCTCCATGGGGCTTATTGATTTGAATGCTAGCTGTGCACAGTATCCTGTTCTCGCTGTTAGTTGGACTCCAGAGTCCTACATTCAAACATAACACAGCCAGAGCAAGCTCTTACCTCCAATTACCAACACACCAGCACTGGGTTAGAACAATGGGGAAGCAAAGGGGAGTGAAGTTACCAGTTTGCTCTGGCGTCTCCGTAGCTTCTACAATTATTGTTTACAGAAAATATCGTTGGGGTTATGTCTCACACTTCACTTGAAGCCCCATCTCTTTTGCATCTGCAGCCCAGAGAGACATCAAGCTGAAATGATTGATTAGGTTTGAATTCCTCTGTCATACACACCCTATAATTAAAGTGTCTTAACAATGCTATGGGCTGCCTGCTGTTAGTTTATTTGTTTGTGTTGGCCTCCACGTTCAAACACACACCTACACACACAAACTCCCTGTGCTCACATGTTCTCTCACACACATACAAAGAAGCCGGTGTGTCTGCTGACTCATGAAGGTGTTTATATTTGTGTTTCTGCAGGAGAACAAGGAGGCAAGACATCAGGAACGGAGACCCACTCACACAGTGTTCAGATCTGCAACACCACGGTACATAAATGAAAAGACATTTTAAACTATGAAATAGTCAAAACAATGTGTAATAACACGTTTGTGTTGGTTTTAGTACAGAAATTATTGCTATGACTAATAATATATATGTTTGTTTAACTTCTAAATGATATATGGAGAAGAGCTTTTGTTTTATGGATTTATTTTTTCTTTGAACATAAAAAGCAGCCGCTGGCCTTTCCTGAAGCGATCAAACCAGTAGAGAATGTGTGCGTTTTATGTGTCTCTGGTGGTGTGAAGATTAGAGTCGGTCCATGTGAAGTTTATAATTAACATGGTCAGGATTCCACCGAGCCTCCTGTCTGTCGCCAAGCCCTCCACGACTGCCCTGTTAGTGGTCTTAGTGCAAAAGCAGGACTCACACTGGTGTCTAATACGCTGTGATTATATGTTTCTTTCAGTTAAATGAGAAGAACAAAAGGAAAAAAGTGTTATCGAAAGCTGCTGATTTCGGGAGGAGGAATTCAGACACATGAAAAATATTGTTACCTGTTGATACCCATTCAGCAGGCAGCAACAATTTTGGTTATATGTTTTAAACCAGCCACAGAACTCAATAAAGAAAAGAATAAATGAAAAAAGTGTTTTGAGAAAATGAGGAGGGAATAACAATATAGTGTAGCAGCATTTACTGGAGTCAGAGTTGTTAAATTTACAACAGGCTTTAGGAGAACAATCAGAAAAACACTGATTTTAAAGAGCAAAAACTCCCTGACTGAATAGCATTGCACCTACTTGACTGTATAAAACCCAGATTTTAGTTACAGCCCATTTCCTGCAACGACTGCCTCTGTGGGCTGCCTGTTCGGCACATGATTGAGTGTGATAAGACAAGAGACAGGATAACGTGAGGAAATAATCTAAAATGCAGTCACTGAAGAAACTAAACCCAGGCCCCTTTCTTAGGCAGTACGTGTAAGGTAATGATTTTTATATTTCAGTTACAGAAAGGCAGAAAAGCAGGGACAGTTTACAAAAATCGTTTAGTTTAACAAACTTGGGCCACTCATACTAGAACATGTGCATCCCCCATATACATGACAGAATGAATGAATGAACGACTTTATATCATACCAAAAATAAATTAAAAAAACAAACAAGACAAAGAAAAAAATGTCCAAAAAGGAGTAGGTAGAAGTAAAACTTTTATGTCCTTACTCCTTACATTTCTTCTTTTAACAATGCTCTTTGCTGGCTTTGTTCTTATATAATTGATCTTAGGTTTCCAACAGATTTTGGCTTTTAAAATCACACCCAGAAATTTAGTTTAATAGACTCCTCCAAAAGCTGCTGGTGTTGTCTGCCAATAAAACACATATTAATTTTCTGGACACCATACATATATTATTTATATTCAAAATAAACAGTTTGGGACCTAATACTGACCCCTGTGGAACCCCAACAGTTATATCTAGGCATGATGATATATAATCACTCATTTGCACAAACGGCTGCCTGTGTCCCATATAGGTTTTTACCCAATCCAATGCAACCCCTCTTATACCATATTTTTCCAGTAGCAAAAGTACCCCAAATTGATGCATAAAAATTACCAGAACACAGGAAATTAAAAAATTAGCTCAATATTTTCTTCTTGGTGAGCCTCCAACCTCCTCGTTTTGTGCGTGCCCCCTATACTCCTTTGAGTAATATGTTCTGTTTTGGGCTTTTGTCTTACACCAGATGAACTAAGTGGGCAGACAACTCTCCTGGACAAAACTGTGTATGGTGTGGAGAACAGCAGCACTTTCCTTGAGTGCAGTCCCAAGTCCCAGAGAGCCCTGACGTATTGGCAGTATCAGCGCTCGACTGATGACCGCAAACAAGAGGTTGGGTTTACCTCGGCTGAACTTCATCTTTTTTATTCAAATAGACTCTGATGCACTTAGTCTGCAAAGCAGATAAATAATGACTGATGGTATTTCATTATGAAGATGATTGTAGAAAGTAGACAGTATCATATTTTAATAATATTTGATGCCATAGTTGATTAAAGTCAAATAAATTTTGTGTAATCAAAACAGCCATGAGGCAGAGCTGATTAGATATTTGGGAACTGTTGAATCTCCTAATCATTCCCATCTTTATCTCTGTGTCTCTGTTGCTTTCAATCTTCTCATTCTGCAGATCAAATCAGAGGAACGTTTCATCCGCACAGACCAGGGCCTGCTGATTCGCACACTTAGCAAGAAGGATTCTGGGATCTACCTGTGCCAGGCGGTGGAGCACGGCTTCATGCAGACACTTCTGAAGGTGACATTGGAGGTCATTGACACCGAGCGCCTGGAGGATCTGCTACACCGGGATGAAGAGGCCACAGCCAGCGTCCCTGCCCCGGATCTTACCCCACCTCAAGAAACTCCCAATCAAAAGTTGTGGTACAGAGACTTCCTGTCTTTGGTCAACCACCCGACTCTGAACAGTGTGGACGAGTTCTGCGAGCAGGTATGGAAAAGGGAGAGAAAGCACAGGAAGCAGAAAGCTCACCTGGTGCAGCAAGTACAAATACACCAGCACCAACAGCAGCAGAAGGTTGCGAACCCTCGCAGCCACATGCACGCTCAAGGGCTGGCGGCCAAGTGGAAACACCTGCAAGAGAGGCAGAAGGGACGCAACCGCAGGACCCATGAACTGGAGAGGGCTCCCCGCAGTGTCTGACCCATAACCCTTTGACTTTTAACACCCAAACCTGAAACCACACCCTCATTCTGTAACCTCGATTAACATACCCACGTTTCTCCTTCATACTGAGATACAGACATCTTTCACAAAGACTGGGTAGAAAAGTTAAACTGGAAAAAAGCTAACACTATCCTGATCTGCTGGCTGGTGTGTCCTGTGCGTGGGCAGCCATGTTTACAGTACGACAGCACAGAGGACCGCGGGGAACGGGATGTTGTATCACGCCAGACCATTTGAGCATATTATCTCAGCTGGCCTCTGTGGCCTGGACACTGCAGAGGGACAATGTCAAACCAGCACAAGAACTGGATACATATACCCACCCTACAGACATGACTGACTCCACGTTGAGATGTCAATGGCATTGTCTCATGGCATGCTAGTTAGGTGTCTTTATCAGTGTGAAACTAAGTAGATACCTAAAAAAAAATACCAGATAATTTCTTTTTTTACTTTACAAATATGAAAGAAGAGGAGGTGGGGTTGTATTGAAAACAGTAAATGGACTTACAGTGGAATTACAAGCACAAAATAAGTGAAGCTCATGAAAAGCACAAATGGGATATTTGGTCATTTTTGGTATTATAGATGGTACATCAGTCGACACAAGAAAGAAAAATGCCCAAACACTGCAAGAAACTGCGAGCAACGGTCACCATTTGTCAACAAATACAACTATGTAGCTAAGATGTGTAAATACTGTATTCTATGACGTCTCCTCATACTAAAGGGAATGGCTTGCAGTCGTCTTGTTGCTTTATGTTGTTTCCCCCAGATAGAAATTTATTTAAGAAAAAGTCTTTGGAAAGCCGTTGTAAACAGGGAGATTTTGTACTAGCCTGTGTGTCTACGCCCTAGATAAGCTTCCCAAACAAAGTCAGGTTTTATTATTCTGTTTTGTTCATCTACTTTTTTTTGAATCATCAGATTCCTTCCAATGTCAACAGTCGTAAAGTTGACTGTCACTCCATAGGGACGTCTGCCAACTGCATCATCTCAGTGCATGAAATGTCATACTGAGTTCTTCCATGTTCATTTGATTTGTATTCACTTTGTTTCCTCTATATGTGTATTTATTGATAAACAATCATGTACATTGTGAAAATAATTTTCAATGTGCAGAGGTTTTTTTCTGCTTTGTTTGATTAATCTGATTTACAGGACCAATCTTTTGAAAGAATACTTCACCCACAAAATTACCATTTGTATAATTATTAGTCATGAAGCAAAGAAAACTTTATTTTTCTTGCATGCCTCCACTGAAAAAGTCCAACATATTGATGTATTGATTGACTGGAGACCACATTTAACAGCAAAACTATATCAAAACACCCGTTTACACACTCTTGCACAACTCAGGCTGTTAAAATCCAAGCCTCATTTATTCAGTTGTATGCTCAATACTTCACAAACACATGCATTTTCACTAAAATAAACCTTAGTATTGGAGTCTGGCTTTGAGAGAGCATACATACATTTTACTTTAGCTTCAGTTTTAAATAGTAAGGTTCTACCAAAGTGCGTGTTTGTGTTTGGGAGATACTGAGCATATGACCGGATAAATGAGACTTGATTTATACTGCATGAGTTGTGCAGGAGCTTGTAAACAGTTGTTTTGATATAGTTTTGCTGCTAAACATGGTGCCCAATCCATCAATAAAGCTATATGTTTGCCTTTTTCCATGGAGGAATGCAAGAAAACAACATCTTCTTCACAAATTTAAGGTACCACAGCATGACCAATGGCATTAGATACTGATGCACAAAGGCATTTTTTGATGCTCTGGGCAACTACTATAGTATAAAGAGCGAGTAAGTCCATATAAGACACACAGGAGTGGAGGTGGATTGGTCAAACAAGCTCTGGACTTTCGCCTGGGAGGCAGCTGTTCATGTCTTGTGTGAAATCAAAAATCGGTTTAATTATTATAATAACAACATAGTGTGCTAGCATGTGTAGCATACTATGCTAGCGACATTACATTACGTTAGTAACAAACATACTTATTTTAAGCCAAACCATGACATTTTTTCAAAACCTAACCACGTACTTTTGTCGCCCAAACTTAAGGAAGTAAATCTAAAAACAAAGTTTGTACCTATGTTCTAAATTCATTTTGAATGACCCTGTATGAGCAGAAACTGTACATTTGCTCTGACAACAGAAGCTGGAACGGAGCGTAAATTGGCATGAGGAGGGGTACCTAGCACATCATATGTTGATGTATACAGCCACTTATAAAGCATTGATATCTGATCAGTTAGGTGTGATTATGTGTTGATATATTTGCTTCCAAAACACATGCATTGACAAAAAATTTGGAGTATTGGAGTCTGGCTTTGAAGAGAGCATACATCACCTTCAGTTCACTTTTAAATAATAAGGGTCGAGCAAAAGTATATGTGTGAAGTACTGAGCATACGACTATGTTGTGCGGTAGTTTGTAAACTGATGTTTTGATATAGTTTTACGTGGTGCCCAGTCAGTCAATAAATGTATATGTTTGCCTTTTTCCATGGAGGCATGTGAGAAATTAGCACTGCATTACCAATGAATATACAAATGGTCATTTTGTGGGTGAAGTATTCCTTTAAAATAACTGTATTATCACAGATACTGTAGTAAGACTGGAAGTTATTTATCAATATCAGTCAATATCACATGCATTACCTACATATCAAATGCACTGAGCAATAACCCAGTATCCATACTGTATTTTTCTTTCACATTTATTGCCTCATATTCATATTCTTCACAGGCAGCGCAGTGTAACAACTTCATCTCACTGCATGTTACATAAAAAATGAATTTTGTCTGATTATAACAATCCTTTATTATACAATGCACCAACACAAACCTGGAATGTAGCTGTGAACATTATGTAAATATAAATACTATGGTCTATGTTTGACAAGTATGACACTGTGTACTAGTGCATGTGAATACTATTGTAGTGTTCCTGTTTTGCTATAGCAATGATATACTAGTCTGGTGTTGTCACTGTTATTCTGTTGTTTGCTTATGCAGTACACAATATTAACTATTTCAAAGATGTACATACTATTTCTGTTAGGACTCTAAACTGTATAATTGATCATTCCTGAGGTAGGTATTCATAAAAAATAATATAAACAAGATCTAAACAGGATCTCGTTGTGGATTTTAACATCCACAGACCCGTTAACGACGGCGAACAACAACATTGAACAATGCCAGTTGAGCATTGCAACACATCAGTATGTCAGATGACCTTATCTAGTGAGTGTTTGCAAACCTCATCTGCTTTTTTGGAAGCCATGATGGAGGAAGATGAGAAACAGCTGGAGCCACCCGTGAGAGAGCGATTTAAGGCTAACAGGACAAGATCAACACCAGAGCTGTGGAACTTTCAGTAGAGATGGGCATATGATAACATCATCATGATAAAGAGAAAATATAGGGTGCCTCACTGCGTCTGTCTTGGACATACATACAGTGGACGTGAGGAAATGAAGTGCTGCTGCTGCTGCTGCTGCTTTTTGGCATGATGATGATGGTGGTGATGTATTCTACTGATCTAATAAATGTCTCTTCATGAAGTGTTGGTTTCATTAAATCTATTTTTAATGTGCTGTGTCCTGCTGCTATCATGGTATGTGGTTAGTGGAAAGAAAATTTCACGTAGTGTAGATGATCAGATTAGATGGCGGAGCACCTTGCTGCATACATTTCCATATTAATGAGAAAAACTTTTACAAACTTGTCCTTAAAATTGACGTTTATTTAATTAGCTATTATATCAGAAGAAATAAACTTTACTGACGCCAGAGAATAGGCTAATTAATGATTGAATTAACAAGTCGTTAACATAACCGATAATATATTAAAAATCTAAGTAGGTAAGGAAGAATATCACTCAGCTCAAGAGCTCCTTGTGTATTGAAAAGCGGAGCTGTGTGCTATGGCATGCCTCAGGCAGTGGAGGAATTACTGTAAGTTATTATGAAGACCTTGATGTGTGATGTGATGTGAATAAAACATGAGGTCCCCTACAGTCTCTCACTGGAGCCCAACTGTTGTATTTGCATACCGAAAAGGAGTTGGTGGTTAAAGATACAGCACAACTTTGGCTCTCAGTGTCTACAACTGAAGCTGAAAACAACAACAGAAAACCAACATTTTGAAATCAAATATCTCCTCTCGAGGGCTTGACAGAACTTCATGTCAATAGCTCCTGCTACAAAATATGTACTGTGTTTTACTACTGCCCTCTGGTGGTTTCAATAGGAAAGCACACGTATACCCTATCTGTATAGCATACAGTGGCATGCAAAAGTTTGGGCACCCCTGGTCAAATGAAGATGAACGGATCTCCCAAAAGCATGGAGTTAAAGATAAAACATTCTTATTATCATTATTTTTGTTATGTACAATTTTAGAGTGGAAACAGGAAAGGCGTACCATGCAAAAGTTCAGGCACCCCAAGATATTTGAGCTCTCAGACAACTTTAACCAGGGTCTCAGACCTTAATTGGTATGTCAGGGTTATGGCTTGTTCACATTCATCGTAAGGAAAGGCCAGGTGATGCACATTTCACAGCTTTATAAATGCTCTGACTCCTGAAACCTTGTTCTGACAATCAGCAGCCATGGGCTACTCTAAAAGCTGCCTTGCTCTCTGAAAACTAAAATAACTGATGCCCATTAAGCTGTAGAACACTATAAGACAGTAGCTGTTTCCTTAGTTGGTAATGTAATTAAGACATGGCAGTTAACAAGAACTGTGAGGGTCAAGATGAGGTCTGGAAGACCAAGAACACTCCTGGAGAGCTGCTTGTATGATTGTTAGAAAGGCAAATTAAAAGCATTGTTTGACTTCAAAGGACATACAGACAGATTAAGCAGACTCTGGAGTGGTGGTGAACTGTTCTACTGTGCAGCAACACCTGTACAAATATGGCCTTCATTGCGGAGTCATTAGAAGAAAACCTTTCCTGTGTCCTCACCACAAAATTCCGTGTCAGAAGTTTGCAAAGGGAGATCTAAACAAGCCTGATGCTTTTTGGAAATGAGTCCTGTGGAGGAATGAAGTTAAAATAGGACTTTTGGAGGCAGTAAGAAAAGGGATGTTTGGAGAAAAAAAGGGTGCAGAATTTCATGAAAAGAACACCTGTCCAACTGTTAAACACGGAGGTGGATCGATCATGCTTTGGGCTTGTGTTGCAGCCAGTGGCAAAAGGAATGTTTCACGGGTAGAGGGAAAAATGGATTCAGTTAAATTCCTGCAAATTCTGGAAGCAAACATCACACCATCTGTAAAAAAAAGCTGAAGATGAAGAGAGGATGGCTTCTACAACAGGACAATGATCCTAAACACACCTCGAAATCCACAACGGACTTCCTCAAGAGGCACAAACTGAAGGTTTTGCCCTTACAGTTCCTCAACATAAACATAATTAAAAATCTGTGGATAGACCTCAAAAGACTGACAGAATTAAAAGCTTTCTGCAATGAAGACTGGGTGAAAATCCCCCAAACAAGAATTGAAAGACTCTTAGCTAGATACAAGAAAGTATTTAGAAGCTGTGATACTTGCTAAGGGGCTGCTACTAAGCACTGACCATGCAGGGTGCCCAAACTTTTGCTTCAGGCAGTTTCATTTTCTGATTTTGAAACTGTTAAAGATTTAAATTAAAAAGTATTTTTTCTTAAAATGTTGAAGAAATGTTTCATCTTTAACTTCGTGCCTTTTGGAAATCAGTTCATCTTCCACTTATTAAACTACTCACAGTAAACGAAATCTTGACCAGGGGTGCTCAAATTTTTGCACGCCACTGTATAGTGATAGCTATAGGTACTTGGGACAGATATGGCAGTGCTGAGGCTGCAGTTGAAAACACAACAGACTCGCTTTATCACAATAAAGCCTCTTTTGACACATTTGGTGACCTTTGATCTAAGGTCAGAGGTCAGTGAGCATATGTCTCACCTGGGCTTTGACCTTGACCTCTGTAGTCACTTCAACTGCTGCTGTGGGAGCTCATGAGTTTCAGTCCTAACTTCCTCAGACGCTTCAAAGGGAACATTACTGAGAGGTTCGAGCGCTGATGGTGTCGGCTCGGAGAACACACACACACACACACACACATTTTTGTACTTCTATCTTTGCTAGGACCCTCAGTGACATAATGCATTCCCTAGCCCCTTCCTCTACCCTAAATGCCTAACCCCAACCCTTACCCTAACCTAAACCTAATTCTAACCTGAGTCCTAAAACCAAGTCTTAACCCTCAAACAGGCCTTTGAAAATGTGAGGACCAGCCAACAACGTCCTCACTTTGCAAAAATGTCCTCACTCTGTTGCCAAAATATGTTTTTTGGTCCTCACTGAATAGCATGTACAAGTACACACACCCACACAGGCACACCCGCACATGTTTACTTTGGTCACTTCTGGGGAAAACACATAGACTTAC